AAACATAGGCAGTAAAATCTTAGACGCTACTCTCAGCATATTTTTTCTGACATATCTCCTTGGGCAAGGGAAACAGAAGAAACAAACAAACAAACAAACAGGGCTACATCGAACTGAAAAGTTCTTCCCAGCACAGGAGACCAATGAACAAAAAGACAACCTGAGTGGGAGAACATATTTCCCAATAATACATCTGATAAAGGGTTAATACTCAAAATTAATAAAAAAAACTCTGGCAACTCAACACCAAAACAAACAAACAAACCCCAAAACACCAACTAAAAAGTGGGCAGAGGACCTGAACAGACACTCCTCAAAAGAGGACCCACAGATGGCCAACAGACATTGTGAAAAGATGCTCAACATCACCAATCACCAGAGGAATGCAAATTAAAACCACAATGAGTTCCCACTTCACACCTGCCAGATAAGCTATCATTAGTAAATCCACAAAGGACAACTGGTGGTGGGGATGCAGACAAAGGAATCCCAGGGCCCTGGCGGGAATGCAGATCCGTGCAGCCACTCCGGAAAACAGTGCGGAGGTTCCTCAAACAAAATTAAAAATGGAGCTGCCTTATGATCCAGCATTTCCACTTCTGGGAATGTAGCTGAAGAAACCCGAAACACTAATTCAAAGGACTACAGTACATGCACCCCTGTGTTCACTGCAGTGTTACAATCGCCAAGATACAGGAAGCAACTCGAGGGCCTCTCCACAGACACGTGGATAAAAAAGCAGCGGCGCGCACACACACACACGCAATGGGATATTACTCGGCCACAAGAAAGAATGAAATCTTACCATTTGCAACAGCATGGACGGACCGAGAGGGGATTGTGCTAAATGAAATAAGCCGAAGACAAAGACATATACCACATATTACTTACGTGTGAAATCTAACGAACAACATAAACTAACAAAACGGAAATAGATTTACAGATACAGAGAACAAACTGACAAGGCCAGAGGGGTGGGTGTTTGGGGGGCAAGGTGTACTAAGGTGACAGTTACAAAATGGGCTTGCAGGTGTAAGGTACAGCACAGGGAGTACAGTTAACAATGCTGTAACAATGCTGATATAACACTGATAACAGCGCCAGGTGGGCACCTGAATCATCAGAGGGAACACTTTGTAAACTATGTGAATGTTTACATGCTGTACACCTGAAACTAATCCAAGACAGCGTTGAATGTCAACTGTTAACTGAAAAATAACTTTTTATCCTTTATAGGAATACAAACTCAAGGTAAAAGAAAAACAAAAATAATGCATAAGAATCTCCTGGGGAAAAGTAACTTACGAGTTTTGTATAGGAATACAAACTCAAGGTAAAAGAAAAACAAAAATAATGCATAAGAATCTCCCAGGGAAAAGTAACTTACGAGTTTTGTAAAATCTACAGCATGACTGCTTCCAAAACCCTCGCTTGTCCCGGACTGCCAGGCCAATTCCTGGAACAACGTGGGTCCTCCGCTCAGAGGGAGGGGCACTGGCTGTCTGCCATCCCCTGGGGAACCCCACCCTGCAGGAAGTGCTGGGCAGAGATGAACTCTGAACGCAAAGAATGAATTATTCTTCTTTTTTCAGTGATTTGTTTTTGTTTTGTTTTCTGAGCTACATTTACATACTGTAACATTCACCCTTTTAAAGTGAATATATTTCATAGGTTTTAGTATACGCACAAGGTGCATGACCATCACCACTAATTACAGAACAGTTTCATGACCAAAAAAGAAACTCTACACCCTTAGTAGTCACTCCTCCTTCCCCCTCGTCCCTGGCAACCAATAATCTACTTTCTACGTCAGGGATCTGCCTGTTCTGGGCATTTCACATACATAGAATCATCCAATCTGTGGCCTTTTGTGCTTGACCTTTCATTTAATGTTTTAAGTATTTTTATTGATTATGCTATCAGTTTTTCCAATTTTTCCCCCTTATCCCTCCTCCACCCTGCCCCCCAACCCTCCAGCATTCCCCCCTTAGTTCATGTCCATGGGTTGTACAAGTTCTTTGAGTCCTGTTTCCTATACCATTTATCTTTCCCCATCTATTTTATGCCTGCTTATTATGCTTCTTCTTCCCTGTACCTTTCCCCTGATTCCTCCCTTCCCCCTCCCCACTGAAGTCCCTCCATGTGACGTCCATTTCTCTGATTCTGTTCCTGTTCTGGTTGTTTGCTTAGTTTTTGTTTTCATTTTTCTTTTCTTTTAGGTTCATTTGTTGATAGTGGTGAGTTTGTTGTCATTTTACTGTTCATATTTTTGGTGATCTTTTCCTTAGGTAAGTCCCTTTAACATTTCATATAATAAGGGCTAGGTGATGATGAACTCCTTTAACTTGACCTTATCTAGGAAGCACTTTATCTGCCCTTCCATTCTAAATGAAAGCTTTGCTGGTAATCTTAGATGTAAGTCCTTGACTTTCATGACTTGGAATACTTCTTTCCAGCCCCTTCTTGCTTGTAAGGTTTCTTTTGAGAAATCAGCTGATAGTCTTATGGGAACCCCTTTGTAAGTAAATGTCTCCTTTCCCCTTGCTTCTTTTAGGATTTTTTTTAATATTTAATCTTGGGCAACTTAATGATGATGTGCCTTGGTGTATTCCTCTTTGGGTCCAACTTCTTTGGGACTCTGGGCTTCCTGGAAGTCTATTTCCTGTGCCAGATTGGGGAAGTTCTCCTTCATTATTTGTTCAAATAAGTTTTCAATTTCTTGCTGCTGTTGTTCTCCTTCTGGCACCCCTATAATTCAGATATTGGAACATTTCAAGTTGTCCCAGAGGTTCCTAAGCCTCTCTTCATTTTTCTGGATTTTTTCTTTCATTTCCTCTGGATGGACGTTTCTTTCATTCCAAATTGCTGCTTGAATCCTGGTTTCCTTCCTGTCACTGTAGATTCCCTGAATATTTTGCTTTACTTCATTTGGGGTATCCTTCATTTGTTTAATTTTTCGACCAAGCTCAATCAGACCTGTAAGCATTTTGATTACCAGGGCTTTCAATTCTCCACCAGATAGGTTGGCAATCTCATTGCTTAGTTCTGAGGTTATGCTCTGTTCTTTCATTTGGGCCATATTTCTTTGTCTTGGCACAGCTGATGGGCTGTAAGGGGGCAGGGCAACCCTCCTTACTGCTCTGCGGTGCTGCCAGTGTGGGAGGGGCCAGAGAGGGAACAGCTCCGCCCACCTGTTCGTCTCTAGCGCACTTTCCAACAGACTCTCATGAGGCTGGGAGTATCTCCCACCTAGTCATGGCTGTCCCAGTCATGGCCCACAATCAGTTCTGAATCTCAGCTTCCCCTTCAGTCAGCCCCTTCCACACAGGCCGCAGAGCTCTGCAGCCAGCCCCACCCCCACGGCCTGCCGAGTTGCTGCGGTCTTTCTGGGTTGGCCTGTGCAGCCTGCCGCCTTATCTGGTTGATTTTTTTCTTTAATTCCTTGGTTGTCGGAGTTCCATGCAGTTTGATTTTCTGGTGCTTTTGCTTGTTTATTGATTTTAGATTGGCTGTTTTCCTCCTTTCGGTTGTGTGAGGAAGCAAAGGGTTTCTACCTACACCACCATCTTGGCCGGAACTCCTAATGTTTTTAAGATTCCTCCATGTTGTCACATATATCAGTTCAGTCCTTTTTATTGCCAAGTAATACTCCACTATGTTAATATACTGTTTTATTCATTCACTCATCAGTTGGTGGACGTCTGGGTTGTTTCCATCTTTTGGCTATTATGAATTCTGCTACTATGAATATTCTCGTACGAGTTTTCAGGTGGATGTAAGTTCTCACTTCTCTTGGGCATATCCCTAGGACTGGCATTGCTGGGTCACTGGGTAACTCCGGATTTAACCTTGTGAGGACCTGCCGACTGCTTTCCACAGCAGCTGCACCATTTATATTCCCACCAGCAGTGAATGTATGGGGGTTCTCATTTCTTGATATCCTCATCAAAACTTGTCATGGCCCATCTTTTTTTTTTTTAAGTAGAGCTGTGGTTTTATTGATTTTAGAGAGAGAGGAAGAGAGAGCGGGAGACAAACATTGTTTTTTGTTGTTCCACTTACTCACGTTTTCACTGGTTGCTTGTCGTATGTGCCCTGACCAGGGACCAAACCCGCAGCCTTGGTGCACTGGAACATCGTTCCAACCGACTGAGCTCCCCGGCCAGGGCGGGCCATCTCACTGACTGTGTGGAGTTTAGGGTACCTGTGGAACAGCTAAGCAGAGCTATCCCCACAGCATTTGGATATACACGACAGATAAGCCTGGAGTTTATGGGTCACCTCTGGGCTAGAGGTGTAAATATGGCAGGTACATGAGAGCAAGCAGTGACTGAAGCAGGGGAGGGGCCTGCGTGAGGCCAACCACTAGCGGGTAAGAGAAGGGGGCTTGTGACAAACATTTAACACCCAGGAGCCAGAGGACGATTGCAAAGCAGGCTGACCCAAGAAGTGACACATTAAGGAAACTAAAGGGGCAGCGTGTGTATCCAAAAAAGAGGAGGGGTCAGCAAGTATCAAAAGCTACTGCAAGGCTCCATAAGATGCCACCTGACTGATGGGACCCTGATCACCCAGCTGGGCGACTATCCTGAAGAGGTCTGATATCCGAGAGGTGGTGCCTATTAGATATTCTTCCAGAGGCTCTTGGAAGTGACCCAGATATCAGAGGTTCAATTTCTACCCACTTCTTAGGGAAAATCTAACAGGAGAGCAGATGCCCAAAGCCCTTGCTTCTGTATCCAAAACCTGGTCTCGGGAACTGGCTCGAACTAGAGTGCAGAAAAGAGCAGGTACCAGCCCGGGCACAGCCTCTGTCCCAAGGCTGGTTAAATATGAACAGCTTCCAAACCAGGGCAATGCCCGAGACCTGACACCAGGGTGCAAGGCAGGGGGCTCCTCTCCTCCCTCGGCGCGCAGCTGGCGAGGTGCCCGCCTGGGGCTGCTGGCTGCAGCAGCACACTGTTTTCCCGGCCTTCCACTCCCCGCCTGAACCCACTTACCTGGTAAGATGCCCGAACCCTGGACTTTGGCTCTCTCCTTGTCCTGCTCGTCTGTGTGCTCCGAGTTCTCAACCACCTGCTCCAACTCCTCATTCAGCTACAGGGAGACACAAAGAGGGCAAGCAGGTCAGCTACACCAGCCTTGCTTTTCCAGACTAGAAGAAGAAAGCAGAAGCTGCTTCTCACTTAATCATTAAAAAAAAAATCACATGACATCAGCAGGGTGTTATACCAACACTACAGATGGGGACACTGAAGCTCAGAAAACACCTGTGACTTCCTATGCCTTCGCACCACAATAAACACCGAAAACTGGGTGCCTGCAACAACAGAAATGCACCCCCTCAGGGCTCTGGCAGGGTGGCTCCTCTGAGGGCCCCAGGGGGCTCTTCTCCACGCCTCTCTCCTAGCTTCCCCTACTGGCCAGCAGCCCTCCGCGCTTCTGAGCGTGTAGATGCACCCAGTCTCCAACCTCTGCCTCCACCTTCCTGTGGACTCTGTTTCTTCACATCGTCATCTCTGTGCAAGCACACCATTCACATCGGATTTGGGCCCACCCTACTCCAGTGTGACCTCATTTGATTCATTCACGTCTGCAATGACCCTATTTCCAAATGAGGTCCCATTCTAAGGTACTGGGGGTTGGGACTTCAACATATCTTTTTTTGGGGGGGGTGGGTAACAATTCGACACAATACTTTCCATGGTCACAGACGCCAGAAGACTAAAATCCAAGCTGACCTAGTACCAAACCCATGACCTTAACCACTTCCCAAAGGAGGAGGAAATGCGACTTAGTGTCTGCTGAGCAAGAAGAGGGGAACAGTGAGCTCTCCAGGACTCTGGCTAAAGTTCACTGACTTGGGCTGCAAATGGCAGGACAAAGTGGGGCGGGCCCGTCCATGTCCGGGACAGACGCTAATACCCCACCCTCACGCCATCGAGTTCTCGCCGCTCAAAGGGGCAGATGATGCCACTGAGAAGGGCAGATGGGCGGAAGGATAAAACGATGACCAACGAGTCTCCTCAGCATGAATCAGGAGGACAGGAGAGGTCAAGACTAGAGACCGAGGGGGAGCTATCACTGAACAGGGATGAAAGGGGGAGGGGAGAGCTCTCCCAAATATTTTCTTAGATGCACATTGTGAATGCCGAAGGTCTCAAGGCATCTTCATGAACATTTCATCCCCAAGAGACAAGAGTTAAATAAAGCTCTGTGCATCTATTGTTCTTGCAGTTCCCTCGCCATGCCTCCACTCCTGCCCCTTAGAACCTAAACTCCCAGTTTAAAGCCCTCTAGTCCCAAAAGAAAAGAAAAAAAGTGGAAGAAAGCTGGGAAGATGGAGAAGGCACCATGAGGCAGACCCAGGCCCCTAGTGGGAGCACACAGCTCAGGAAGCCCCAGAAGCTTTCACCGGCCAAAGGGAAGAGAGGCTGTTAGTCCCAAGAAGGCTCCAAGTTCTCTGATCCAAGCCTAACACAGGTGCAGCCTCACCCAGTTCCCCTCCTGACTACCTGCAGCTGGGACAAACCCGCCCCTTGGCCTGGCCAAACTCTCAGCATACCCCATCCTCTAAAGCCAAAATCTCCACTCAGTAAAGAAACCTAAGTCTAAGCTCAGAATGATCCAGGCAAGAAAGGTAGCCCCCCAGAAAATGGGAGGCCACCTTCTTCCGAAGGTGAGAAACAAGGACTGCAGGACAGGCCACTAAAGAAAGGGGAAGGGCACTCCCAGGGCCTTGCACCATGGGCGTGCCCCAAATACCAACTGGCTCTACCGTTGGCTGTGCCCCTGCAAGCAGGTTGCCTGCCTAAACTTTAATAAACACTTTTGGAGCCCTGCTAGGTAAGGAGACTAACCTAAATGTGGATGGTGAGGGGCAGAGTCCTGTAAAACCAGGGACACCAAAGATCCTCAGAAGCAAGAGCTGCACGCACCCTGTTAACAAGAGCGATTATTTCATTCACCTGCCAGGCACTGAGCTAAATAATCACTTTCCACATGCTAACTCATCCAACCCTAGGGGATGGGGACTATCATTACCTTCGTTTTGCAGATGAAGAAACTGAGGCTCAGAGAAGTTAGATGACTTGACAAAAGCCACACGAACAGCAAGAGGCAGAGCCTGGAGAGAAATGTGGGGTTTCTGACTTCAAAGTCCTCACCCACTACAGTCTCTTCCCTAGAAACCTGAAACCCTTCCGGGTCAGGGAAAGACAAAACTCATTCCCCAGGATTCCCCCACTGTCAAAGACATGAAATCTAGAGACCACAGAGCCCCCAGCACTGGTTAAAAACCCACTGGGCTTCTTTTGGATAAAAGAAAGAGATGGGATAAAGAAGACGGTAGGAGAAACATGCAGAACTGTCCCAAAGTCAAATTCCAGCCCAGGTGTACACCAAAAAAAGGCCCACCAGCCTCAGCAAATCTCACCTGACTCCAACTCGGCCTCCCCTTCTACTGTGAGGCTAAGCCACCTGTTTTGTCTACGCCACACAGTGTCCTTGACAAAGGGAAAAAAGTACATCATATTGATCAGTAGCGACCAAGACAGCAGCAAGTTTAACTGAGAAGGACAGGCAGAATGCCAGACTAGGCTGGGAAGTCAGTCTCCACGGAGCATGTGGGATTTGAGATTCTCCCCTTGAGTAAGGGCGGGATTTGAACCAGTGGAACTTGAGAAGGGTTAAAGGAGAAGAAATGGTGCGAGCACAGGCACAGGAAGCAGGAGCACATTTTTAAACAGTGAGCTTCCAAGTGTGGCCAGAACCTAGGTGGGTGAGAATGGTGAAGGTAATGGGGGATACAGCTGCTGAGCTGTGCAGAGCTCTAAAAGCTCCCTGAGAAGTTTGGACCGCTCTGAGTAGACCCAGGGCACCATCAGGTGTATGAAAAAAACGAATGCTCTGGGGTCAAGGCAAGGCCTCAGAGCAAATCTGCACAGGGAGAGACCAAAGGAAGCAGTGGTAACACAGTATCACGCTCTGGTGGGCAGAGCAGACAGACGCAGGGACCCAAACCAGAGGACTGAGAATGTGGCACTGCCAGAAGCAGGCAAGTGAGGGGGTGGGGGACGGTGAGGGATACAGCGGAGGAAGGTGACTGAGGTTTGGGACTTGAGGAGGGGAAGGCGAGCAGTTCATTCCTTGTAGCAGGAGTCAGAAGGAAGAGCTGGTTTGAGGGAAGAGCTGGAACGGCAGTCTGTTTGTAGCTCAGGACAGATAAGAAAGAGACAAAGAGCTTGAAAGTGATAGTTACAAAGTCGTGGGAGGAGGTGAGACCGGAGAGAAAGAGGGAGTGGAGTGAGAAGCGGCTAAGTCGGTGAAAGCATACTTTCAAAGACAGGCGGCCACCCAAACAAGATGTAATCATCCCTATCATTAACAGCTGCAGGGGCCACGAGGCCTTGGCTGGGAGGAGGGCTGATGCCCACCGTGCAAACGCTCCAGCTGGAAACAGGCGCAGGCGCTTCCACTTGTTGCAAACAACACCGCAATGCTCGAGGCCACGCGGGGTCCCGCCCCGCCCGCCGCGTCGCTGCTTAACTCCCACGAGGCTTTAATCATTCACCTGCTGGTTAAGAGTCGCGGCTTTGGGGCCCCAGCTCCGGCCAAGCGACCCCGGCATCCGGAGGAGGCTGGGCGCCCCGCTTCCTTCCTGCTCTCCCCCTGTCTGCACGCGGGGACCCCTATCCTGACGCACTCACCCGCTCCTCGAAAGCGCGCCCCGACGCCCCCCGCACCCCTCCCACCCAGTACCCCGCTCCGCCGCCTCACAGGAAACTTTGTTTCCGCGCCTCCCAACCCCAGCCTTGTACCTCCTGGTAGGATGTGGAGAGCTCCTGCCGGATCATGGCACTGACCGGAGCTGAGGCACACCAGAACCCGCTCCGCCGGGGAGAAGTAGCGGAGCGAGGATTGCAGCGGCAGCGCAGGAACCTGCCGGCTCGAAGAAATGCAACGGGTTTGGAGGGGTGGCCCCAAGACCAGGCGGGGCCACACTCCGCGCATGCGCCTCTCCCCGTCGCCCGTGGAACCGCGAAAGGGTTGCTGGGAAATGTAGTTCTGGTCGGTAGGCACCCCTCAGCACTCAAGGGGCGGTGAAGCCTGAGCTACCTAAACCAAGGCATACAGAACGCCTGAGTTAGAATCACGTGCTCTCTTCATCTCTCACTTCCTCTCTTTGTTGAAGGGACAGGGACGGAGAAAATTAGTGGAAAGTGGAATGAATGGGCCAGGTCAGATGAGGAGAGCCTAATCTATAATTGCAAGAGGAAGCTTGGCCTGGTGGTTTGTAACGGTAATAGATGTCTGGTGGGCACTTGCTATGTCAATTATACACATGATACCTTTGATTCTGCAAGGCCCTCTGTAAGGGTGACATTTTTCTGTCTGTTTTACAGATGAGAAAACCGAGGTACCTTGTTTGAAGATTTTTTAATCCAGGAACGGACTCTAGAATCCAAGTTCTTCCGTCATTCATGGGCGGACACATGGATGCAGGGGCTCTAGGTGCCCGACCTGGTTCTGCCCCTCTCCCACAGGTCTTGTGGTGCCCTGAGCGCTCCTCTCTTCGCCTTAGAATGCGTGCGGCTGCTACCCCTGCCCTGCTTCACAGGGCTTTGGAGCGCCAAAATAGACCAGGCAGAAAAATCCCAAAGGCGCTGCTCACCACAGCAGAAGCCTCGTGCCCTGAGTATGGTGGGAAATTGGGTGTTTGCCCTGTGGCGGAGTGGACCTGGGGCCCACATCTCCCCCTGCCTTCCCACTGCCTGAGCAGCTGTTTTGTGTGGCTGCCCTGGGCTGCTTAGGGGCAAAGCAGATAAAGGTTGCTTATGCCTTGGTGAATGCTGCCCTGTGTCCCAGTGGCTGCAGCTCTGCCACCCACTGCATTCAAGCCACTCAGGGGCTCTTCCCTTTTCATCCGCAACCACGAGTAGCAACGACCACATCAGAGCACCCTAGACGTCCCAGAGCGTTAGCAGTGAAAGGCCTCTGTCACCCCTCTTGACCACCCTCCCAGCCCAGGCTCCCTGCTCCTACATCTACTTATTAAAGGCGACAATATATATAGCACCTAACACATTGTAGGCACTCAACAATCATTTGTTAAATTTATAACTGGATCCCTGGCTGGTGTGACTCAGTGGATTGAGCGCTGGCCTGCAAACCAAAGGGTCGCTGGTTCGATTCCCAGTCAGGGCACAAGCCTGGGTTGTGGGCAAGGTCCCCGGCAGGGCGTGCATGAGAGAAAACCACACATTGATGTTTCTCTCCCTTTCTTTCCCCCTCCCTTCCTCTCTCTCTATAAATAAATAAATGAATGATCTAAAAAAAAGTTTAAAAAATTATAACTGAAACACTCCAGCCATTACATTTAACACTTATTCGCCAAAACAAATACACAACAACAGATAACATTAATTTCCTTCCTGTATTGATACTGGGGTGGTGGACAGAGCAAGTCACGCAATCATAGAATTTTAGAGCTGGAAGGAACCAGAGAAATCTAGGCCAGCCCTATGATTTCCCTCTACTCTTTGCTGATATGACCACACTGGAAAATGACAGGCCCCCCGTATTTGAAGCAGATGCCGACTAGCACAGTATTCCGCAGAGCTTAACAAGCACATTGTGCTGGGCACTGGGATACCGAAGGAATAGGATGCTCCAAGGCCCTTGCTCTTGTGGCTCTTCCGCACCAAGGTGGAGAGACAGACCAGGAACACAAACAGAATTTTCTGTGCCTGCTGTCCCCAGGTCCTTTCCGTCCAGTCCCTCAAGCACACACCCATCAGGCTTTCACGCCGTCCACTCCAGAGAAGCGGTGCTTGTCGTGGTCACAAATGCTCTCTGAGTTGTGAAACCCGGCGGCCATGTCCTCACCTCCTCTCTCTTGATCTCTCAGCTGTGCTGGATTCATCTGATTGTCCCTCCTCCCTGCACGCTTTCCTCTCGTAGCTTGCAGGACCCCACACACTGCCACGCTGCCTCTCACTGCCTGCACTGCTCCTCCTCAGCCTCCTTTGCTGGTTTGTCCTCACTGCCTCAGCTCTACAGGGTGGCAATGCCCAAGCCAGATGTTTGATCCCCATGCTACTCACACCCTAGGGGCTGGTGGTCTTCTCTAGTCTCATGGTGCGAATTGATATCTAAACCCTAAAGATTCCTGTTGCAGATTGAACACTGTCCCCCAAAATGGAGAGGTTGAAGTCCTAACCCCTGACACCTCAGAATAGGATTGTTGCAGATGTAATTAGTTAAGATGAGGTCATGCCAACTAAGGTGATCACTACATCTCTTATTACTCATGTTCTTACAGAAAGATGTCAGATGATGGGGAGATAGACCGAGGAAGACGTCCTGTGATGACAGGTGCAGACTGCAGTGATGCAGCTGCATCTTTAACCATTCATTGCCGGCTACAGGTCACGGCCTGGGAGGCCAGGTCCCATCCTTGGCCAAGCAACAGGCAGAAAATCCCAAGGTCACCAGCCACCACCAGACACTAGGAAAAGGCAAGGAGGCATTCTTTCCAGAGTGTTGGAGGCAGCATGACCCTGCCACCACTTTGATCTCGAACTTCTAGCCTTCAGAAGTATGAGAGGATACCTTTCCATTATTTTAAACAATGCAGTTTGTGGTATTTTGTATGGCAGTCTTGGGAAATGAACACAATTCTCTACTGTGTGCAAACGAATAACTCCTCCAGCTCTCCCAAGCCCAGGCTCACTCGTCCAGCTGCCCAGGTGCCCTCTCCACCAGAGGTGCACCTGCAGCAGCAGAGGGGAGCTACCGCAGGCATGGACCCAGAAACCAGACTGGCTGGGTCTAAGTCTTAGCTCTGCCACTTACCAGCTCTGTGCGAACCTCATTTACCCTCTCTGTGCCTCAGTTACCTCATATGTAAAATGGGAATGCAAGGAGTCCTCACCACCATCGATAGGTGCTGCAACTTTAAGCAAAGTGACATAAACTGAAACCAGCCTCACCACAGGTTATCGATATAAATGAGAGTTAAGTTCCTATGGCATGTCAACATAATAACGAAAGGATGACGTTGAATGAGACGTGAGTTGAGGGCTGGCGGTACACTACTACCTACTCAGAGAGTCCAGAGAGGAGTCGTCACATGTAAAGTACTTGGAACACCATCTGGCACATTGTGAGTTGTTTGTTAGTGTCACTGTTTGTTGCAAGGTGCAAAATGTTAGCGTCACTGTTTGTTGCAAGGTGCAAAAACGGAACTACTGATACTGCTGCCCCACATCCGCTCCCCTGCCAGCCTTTCTCCCTGCCGTAAACTCCGTCCTCCCATCTGCTCTGACCAAACTCTGCAGTCCTTTCTGGTTCCTCGCTTTCTCTGACACCCCACGTCCGTGGCTCTCTGTCATACCTCACTGTGGTATCAGCAAATCCTGCTGGCTCCACTTCAAACATTTGTTCAGAAACTGCCCGTGTTCCCCCACTGCCACCGTCACCACCCTGGTGAGGGTGCGCACCCCGTCATTTCTCGTGGACTGTTTCCAGTCACCTCCTGGCCGGTCTCTCTCCTTCCACCCGTGGACCCTATGGTCTATTCCCAACACAAGCAGCCGGTGAGAACCTGCTAACTAGGTCAGGTGACGCCACTCCTCTGCTCCAACCCCACGAAAACCAACCCCACGAAACAAAGCCACTTACTCACAGTGGCCCACGTGGCCCAATAGGATCTGTCCTGCAGCCCCCTTTTCTATTACTTGTCCCCTCACTGTCTCAGCCTCAAAGTGCTGAGCCTCAGGGCCTTTGCACTGGCTGTTCCCTGTCCCTGGAATGCTCTCATGCTGGGTGTCTTTATAACTCACTTCCTCACTCCCTTCAGGTCTTTCTCCAAATGTCACCTGGCCAGTGACGCCTCCTCTGAGCATCCTGTTAAAACAGCAAGCCCCGTAGCCGGCACGTACCCTACCCTGCTTTGCTTTTCTCCAGTGCGTGTGCCACCTTCTGACTTTCATTGATTTTCTGTCTCCCTCCCCTAGAATGTAATTTTCACGAAGGCGGGTTCTTAGGTGTTTGATGCATTGGTGTATCCCAGTGCCACCGACAGTGTCTGACACTTGTTGGTCCTTCAATAGTCATGTGAATACACATTCGAGACAAGTTCACGTAGTGATGTATGATAGAGAGCGACAGGGCAGGTGTGCAGAGGCGCTGATTTATCTCACGCCCTTCCAGAGGCCTCAGAATGGTAGTGACTTGCGAGTTGAGACTTGGATAAGAAGGAGCCAGCACATGATGACCTGCATCCCCCCCAAAAGGCACCAGTACAGTACAAAGGCCCAGGCTGGAACCCAAGCAGAAAGCAGAGTGGCTGCAAGGGACCGGTGGAGGGCCACGTAGGAGACAGAGTCAGAGGGCTAGAGAGAGGCCAGATGGTGGAGGCTGGCGTGTGCTGACCCCGGGCTGTTTTCTCAGGTCCAGTCCTCAGCTCTCTGCTCTGGGTTGCAGGAACCGGCCCTGGGGGCTGGGTTTCCATGGGGTTCAGTCAAGAGGAAGCACTGTCGCGGGGCTGGAGGAGGGCAGGTCAGGGGAGAGGCCAGGGTTTTCTTTCCCTTGCTGTCTGCCCCTGCAGCTTCCCTCTCTGGCTCCAGCCCCTGCCACAAAGGCTTTCTGTGGTTCTAGCTTCAGCCAGGTGACCCAGATCCCCAGTCATCCTTCCACCGGCAGGACGTTGCTAATCTTCCCGCTGCTCCAAACCTACGGATTGCTTCTCAGCCTCTTCGATCACGTGTGTAACCAGCTCCCTGCATTACAGCCACTCTATTTTACTCAGAATGGTTTCTGTGTTCCTTGCAGGAAACTGATTTGTTTGGAAAAACAAACCTGGTTTGAGTAGACAGAGATGGTCAGGAGGATGCCTGGAGGAATTCAAGGGCATGTGAGCATTAAATTACAGACTT